TCCTCCTTGCTCCCATGAAGAAATATTGTAACATTAAATTGCAATTGAAGCTTGTTAGCATAAATGAGGTTTTAGGTCTCTAAAAGTACAGGATTTTTCTTCATTACCTTTTTATTATTGACAAGGGAGGGAACCAGAGGGACAGTTCAACGCTCCACCTGGAAAGTATTGAACTTTGTTGTTGAACAATAACCAAATAAAACAAATAACTATCTTGACTGGCATGGTGAAATGAACGCTTCCTTCTATATAGAGTAACACTGAGCCATCCTACCATTGCACCCAGCGTTAGAAGCTGTGTAATCTATAGGTGTCAAAGCTTACCAAAGAGCTAACCTTGACAATATTTAGCATTTTAATAGTCATTATTCCCTGAACAAGTAGCATACGTGGCTTCACAAAAACAAAGCATGTTCATATGAACTAAAAACAGGTGCATTTGTCCAAATACTTTACTATAGCAGCAGTCAGCTGCATCCACCTACAGCTAAGTTCTGCCCTCACTTACCCAACTAGGGATAGGGGTAGAAGTAAGACACCTGTGAGTATCTGGGACAACATTCTCGCCCTGGTAAATGACCCACACTTCTTGAGCTGGAAAAAAACCATCTTAATTAACAACAGTGTGATCTAAGGACAGGTTTGGGATTTATCCCAGCAGTGTACTGGTAGCAAAGCAGACGGAGATAGCTACTCATCCCACCGCTGTAGTATGCTGGTGCTGTACGGCCTAATAGCTGAAACTTTAAAAAAAACCAAACAACATTCACAAATCAAATCAGATTGAGTACAACCTGCAGAGTTACTGTACATCTTAACTTACACCTGCTGGGAAAACTTGCTAGATCAGACTTAAATGTAAATACATCTATTTTTAACTGAACCAGTTTTTACAGGGTCTGAAGTATTCTTTCACAGGAAGAGGTTTTTAATATTCACACTGCTGCCTACAGTAACTTAATTTGTCCTCCTACTGTTCAGTGTTTTTGGGTTTGTGCACATACCCGCCCCCTTACCCCCAATAAAGGGCTTGTTGGAGGCTGTGTGGGCGGGTTACTAATAGCTCCTCTTACATTTTGGTCTACATGACATTCTTCATGTAAATGCTCTACATAAAAACCAAGCTGCTCGATTTATCTATTGTGCCTACTATCTGATGTATATGATGAAATGCTAACTTGTTAAATGTTCCTTTATTTCTATTTTACTGTGCACAAAGAATACTTATTTAAAGCTCATTGTTGCAGTCCTATGATGCATGATCAGAATTGTAACAAAACTAAAATAATCCAGAAACTGATGGAGTAAAAAAAAAATTACTTATTGAGCCTTTTGATTATCAAGAACCCTGCACAAATCCACTGTCAGCTTGACCACCACACGCTGTGCTGAAATTCAGGGGGTCGGGGAGGGCAGGGAGCTCTTGTTGTTTCTGCCGTAGACAGAGAATGTAACGGCTTACTCAAGAGACCCCAAAATGACTGTGACAAAAGTCTCTGCATCTACCTTAAAAAAGTGCTCTCCTAGCAACAGCCAAGAATAAACATAACAGCACAGACTGTGAGATGTGGGTGGGGAATGTAAGTGAGCTAATAAATCCAACTCTTGATCCAGCTTTTGCCTTTGAAGGGATTTGATTCATCCCCTTACAATAAGGGAACACAGTGTGATTAATCTAATTCATTCACTTGTCAAGCAGAAAACAACCTAGCAAAAATAAAAAGCCCCCAACCCAAACCAACCAGCCTCACTCTGCCCTGCCAGGAGAAAGGGGGCCGAGGGGCAGCTGTGGCTTACCTGGAGGAAGGTTGGGGCTCCTGGGAGATGGTGGTGGAACGGCCGTGTCACCTTGCTGGGCCGTGCCTGGGAGAGGCCCTTCGGCCTTCAAGCAGCTGCGCTCACTTGCCGAACAGGCAAAGGAGGAAATGATCAGAGAAGTGGAGGTGATCACAGAATAATTACCCTAACAAGTCGTTGGTGGTCACAAAGCCTGGGCCCCATATCCTGGGTTCTGAGGCAAAGAAAGGTTTTGGGGTTTGGTTTGTGGGTTTTTTTCGGGGGGGG